TGGGGTGGCTTTGGTGGCACTTTGGGGTCAGAAGCCCCATCTCTCAAGGCACACTGGTGGTGGAGAGGGGACGTGGGGTGGCTTTGGTGGCACTTTGGGGTCAGAAGCCCCATCTCTCAAGGCACACTGGTGGTGGAGAGGGGACGTGGGGTGGCTTTGGTGGCACTTTGGGGTCAGAAGCCCCATCTCTCAAGGCACACTGGTGGTGGAGAGGGGACGTGGGGTGGCTTTGGTGGCACTTTGGGGTCAGAAGCCCCATCTCTCAAGGCACACTGGTGGTGGAGAGGGGACGTGGGGTGGCTTTGGTGGCACTTTGGGGTCAGAAGCCCCATCTCTCAAGGCACACTGGTGGTGGAGAGGGGACATGGGTGGCTTTGGTGGCACTTGGGGTCAGGAGCCCCATGTCTCAAGGCAGAGTGAGGTGGTGACAAGGATGTGGGGTGACTTTGGTGATACCTCGGGCTCTCGTTCCCCACCTCTCAAGGCACACTGGTGATGCTGAGGACGTGGGGTGGCTTTGGTGGCACTTGGTGTCAGGATCCCTGTCCTTTAAGGCAGTGTGGTGACAGAGGGCATGTGGAGTGGCCGTGGTGGCACTTTGGGCTCTTGTACCCCATCTTTCAAGGCACACTGGAGATGGAGAGGGGACATGGGTGGCTTTGGTGGCACTTTGGGGTCCGCAGCCCCACCCCGCAGGGCACAGCGAGGTGGCAGTAGGGCCACGGGGTGACCTGTCAGGGTGAGAAGCCCCACTCCCATGCCGGTGACGCTGTGGGGTGACACCGGGGGGTGGGGGGGCTCAGAACCCCCTGGCCTCCAGCCGCAGCGTCCCCCCAGCTGGTGGCACCTTCTTCTTGAGGCGGTTGAAGTCCTTGGCCGAGCGCCACAACCAGGTTTGCAGCTCCTTGAGCAGCCAGAAATCATCCATCTTCTTCAGAAAGTCATTGGGGGCCACCGGGGAGGTGCCGGGTGGTGCGGGGGACCCCCCAGCGGGGAGCGGGTACCCCAAGGAGGACATGACGCCGGCGATGCTGAGCACCAAGCCCTGCAGGCTGGAGCAGAAGTGGCCGAGGCGGTGACGCAGCTCAGCCGTCCCCTGCCCGTCCAGCGCCCGCAGGTAGCAGAGGAGGCGGCTGTAGGCACGGTAATTAGCGGCCAAACGAGCGTTGTCCGTTAGCCCCCGCCACAGGTCCAGGTCCACCGTGGCGCTGGGCACCCGCTCGACGCGCGCCAGCCGCGGGGGGGTGAAGTCGGGATGTAGTTCAGGTGGAAGGGACGGGGGGGGACAATGGTCAGGTAACATGGGGGACATCGAGGGGGCGGTCAGGGTGGGGACTTCACCCATCGTCCCCAGTCGCTGTGGTCCCCTGCGTGCCATGTCCCATGTTGCTGTGCCCGTTGTGTCCCCAGTCTCCATGTCCTCTGCAGCCCAGGTCTCCATGTCCTCATGCCACCATGTCCCCAGTCTCCATGTCCCTCACGCCCCAGGTTTTGGTGTCCCCAGTCTGGACATGACCCCCTCATCCCAGGTCTCCATGTCCTCATGGCCATCATGTCCCCACTCTCCATGTCCCCACATCACAGGTCTCAATGTCCCCAACCTGGACATGCTCTCCTCATCCCAGGTCTCCATGTCCCCCATGTCCCAGGTTTTGGTGTCCCCTATTTGGGCATGTCCCCCTTGTCTCCATGTCACCCTGCCCATCATGTCCCCCTTCCCATTAGGTGCCCAGTCTAGATGTCCCCCACATCCCAGGTCTCCATGTCCCCAGTCTGGACATGCCCAATACATCCCAGGTCTCCATGTCCCCATGCCCACCATGTCCCCACTCTCCATGTCCCCACATCCCAGGTCTCAGTGTCACCCAGCTGGACATGTCCACTATGTCCCTTTCATGTCCCTGGTCTCCATGCCCACCATGTCCTCATGTCCCCCTCCCCATGTCCCATGTCCCATGTCCCCAGATGGATGTACCCACCATGTCCCACGTCCCCAAGCGGATGTTCCCACCATGTCCCAAGTCCCCAAGTAGATCTTCCCACCACGTCCCATGTCCCCAACTGGATGTTCCCACCATGTCCCACATCCCCAAGTGGATGTTCCCACCATGTCCCATGTCCCATGTTCCATGTCCCATGTCCCATGTCCCCAAGAGGATGTTCCCACCATGTCCCATGTCCCATGTTCCATGTCTCATGTCCCCAAGAGGATGTTCCCACCATGTCCCACGTCCCCAAGTGGATGTTCCCACCACATCCCACGTCCCCAAGTGGATGTTCCCACCACGTCCCCATGCAGACACTCCCACCACACCCCAGCTCTCTCCATCACCCTCCCACCCATGTCCCCAGTGTCCCCAACCCCACACCATGGCAGTGCCACCCTCATCAGCCGGCAGCACCGGGGGCACATCAGGGCACAGACGGGGAATCCCAGTGCTGCCC